ACTAAACTAGAAAAAGGCGATCATTATTACATCCAAACACGGCGCAAGGATCTTTTTTCCCATTACAATCTTATTCTAAGAAAACTTTAAGAAAAAAAGTCCCGACAAGCGCTCGAAAATACAAACGAAATGTGCTCATGCCCCCTGGGCATCCTATAATACTCCTTAAATCGAATTAATTCAATATGGCCGCAGTATCGGTAAAAAGGTCTATTTGAACTGGTGTTCTGATGGCCTCCACATTATAAGGGTCCCACTTTGTCTTGTTGAACTCCCTCTTGGTTTCAATAAGAATTCCTGCTTGGGGGCACCTCAAAGTAATATAAACTTTAAAGCCTTTTGACTGTGGACCACTTTTCTTAATGCATAACAATGTATAGAAAAGGAGACACTCTTAAAGTGTTAACTCGAGGTTTCTTAGAGATTAGATAAGAAATGAGGAGGAGATAAATTCTTAAGGAGCCAGCATGCAGCCAGACATAGGTTACACAGTAACTACTGACTGCCTTATGGTACATAGAATAGTCATACTAAACTTAAACTGGTCTGAAGATTATAGTTCAATCGTTACAGTGTATAAATCTAAAATGAAATTTCCAATTATGTCTAGGCAATAATGCTGTAATTTCAAGTACAGTAATCTTCCACGATCAAAGGCAATACCGCTAGAATATCAGGGAAACATCAGTGAAGACTTCAGTATGAAAAATAAATACACATTTCCCAAACTAGAGAACTTCGAAAATAAATAGACTAGTTCAATTTGTAGACTAGACATAGTAATTTCCATTGGCCAATGCAGTGCTGGAGTGTGTGACAGTCAAGTACAAAGCTACCCTTATAAACACATCCATGACACATACATAACGTCAGACGAGTAGTTGAAGTTGCTTCCCGTAGTTGAAGGTTAAATCATTGATATCTCAAGTATTTATAAAAAGAAGAAAAACTGTTAGCAGATTATGACTCTTGGTGCTATGCAACCTTAAGTAACAAAACCCTTGCAGGTCAATCCAGAGAATCAGCATTTCATGACCATTCTGCTGTGTATATTTTTAGTCCAAAATACAAGTTTTGATATTTTTTTGACTAAAATAACTTTTCTGATTTTCCACGATAATAGGTTGAACAATTTCCTTAATCAATTCTCACCTCAAATGCCTGTGGCTTCTAAGCAATGATTAGCACACCACTAGAGAGATTAAGATTAACGTTTATGCCAAACGGCAGACGTGGATTTGTACCACGTGACCAAGTTTTCCCCTTACTTTCTGAGTACTCTTTATTGCTTCTACACAAAAATAAGTAGTTTTACATTAGTTTTAACTGTAGGAATTGTTCGGGACTGTTTTTATCTGCTTATTTTCTATTCTGAGAAATTCTCAACTTGAGTCTGACGTTTGCCATTTGCCGTAAAAGTGAATCTTAATCTCTCTAATATCACACGTAACACAGGCTTGGAGTCTCATAAAGCCAGTTTAGTAATACCTCTTCAGCGAACCCATTGACAACTGGTTCATTATCCAATGTTTCTAACCCACTGTCTCCAAATCCATCTAATCCCTGCAATGCAAAAAAATATATATACATTTAAACTTTGTTAAACATCCACTTTTTGTAGGTAACTCTTGCAATCTCTTTAATTTGGCATTCAAATTACACAATGGTCAACTGCCAAAAGTTTCCATTGAATGCTAATAAAACAGGTAACATGTCTGTAAACATTTGAAAGACGCTTGACAGAACTCTTTTTACTTTAACAGATACAAATATCATGAAAATTAAAAATTAAATTCAAGCGATTGGGCACGGTCAATAAGTGATAAGGCCTTGCTTTAATATTTCATCATTTAAAAACCTAGTTTAACAAAAATAAAAACTGCAAAAAAATGCGTTATAACAAGAAAAAGAAGGTAACTTTTCAGGTAGATTAACCTGGTAGCTCTTATTTTCAACTTGTGATGTTCATAATCACGGAACAAAGAGAAGTCTTTGATGATAATTTGCAGCGTTTTGATACACTCGTTGTAGCGTGAAGTTTATTTTTATTCTCGACGAACATCTACACGATTTAACGTTACAAATAGCTATGGTTTCAATTTTAAAACTGTTTTGGATTACCCTCCCTTAGGTGCTAGGTGGTGACAAATACGGTATTAAGACCAAATGATCAAACTACAGAAATTTAAAAAAGTTCTCCATCAGCCTGTAATTTCTAAGTCTAATAAGTATAAGAAATTACAATTTAAGTAGAACACGACAGCCGAATACAAATTAGTACAAACAGCTAGCTTTGCACCAAAATATTTTACTTTAAACGCTGAGTGTATGTTCCTTAAAAGACGCTCCAACATGTCCGAGTACTTCGTTGCCAATATCAGAAAAAGTCTGCCTGTTCTGTCCCTAAAATTTACTCAGAGCAAGGCGTTACTAAACTTACGTTTGTCTCGGCTCCTCCGCCGCCGAAATCCTCTCCTAACTCAGCGAGATCATCTTGCTCTCTGGCCAAAAAGTCGGCGGCAGGATCTTCCTCAAAGTTATCCATTTTGGAACCGGAATGACTCGTGTAAACTATGATATCCCGGATGCCTTTGGTTGCTGCTCCCTTGGATTCTCGGGATTGTTTCTTAGCGTGATGCACCCTGGGAATTCCCTTGCGTCATTGAAGTCACTACAATCAGCTGCAATGGTGGGTAAACTTGGCTGTGTTTCATGTGGATGTCAGTTTATGAACCGTCTTCCGAGCATCTTTTAATATTGTATCTTTATTCTTTCGCTTTTTCTTAGACAACTCTTATACTAGCAGGACTTGGTGTAGCCGGAGCGGCAGTTGCAGGTTCTTTTTCCTGATAAATTTGTCTGTACATAACCTTATTGAAGTGATATATTTTATCACGTGTTTATATAATATGCTGACAGTGCATAGAGTGCTACGTCCTGACACAAACCTTGCGGATTCCTCATTTTCTTGTGTAGGTCGCTATGCCGTGATAGCATTCAGAAAGGTTAACTTGAACCAGATACCAAAGATTATTCCCAAAATACCGGTAAGTTCCTTGCACTAAGAAATAAATCCAGTCTTAAGTTTATACTCACTCTGCCACTCACTCTAAATTCGAGATAGCTCCGAATCTCTCTTTTTAAGAAAAAGATTTCTTCTTTACGAGAAAAAGTAAAAAAAATCATCGGATAATAATTTTTTGTATGAATTTACGAGAACAACATCTTATTTTATGATTTGTTTTAAATTTTTTTCTTTGCATAAGAAATCTCGAATTTAAAGAATTTAGAGTGACTGTCATCTGAATGATGAATATTTGAATTTTATAAGCTTAGAAACCGCAGAATGAAGAAATAAATGCAAAGAAGATCATCGCAATCAAAGACACAGCTCATGAATTTTTCAGGCTTTCTTTTCTCAACTGCATGAGTTACGTCTTTAACTGCGACGATCTTCTTCGCATTCATTTCTTCATTCCATAGTTCCAATATATCAAATTCATATAATATTCATCGTCACATCCTCATCTTTCGTGGGTATATTATGAACCAGTTTAATGACTAGCTCCTAGTTGGCTTGCTGGGCCGTCTTAGCTGTGCTTATGATCGAGATACTCATAGCATAAAATGTATATACACAACCTACAAGACTGATTGAAATTATCGGCAGTGAGTGTTGACACTTCCTCAGCAAACTGACAGCAAACACGAGTATGAAAACCTTATTCCCTGGGTTCCCTTATGAGGTAGCGAGTGAATGTACGTCTGAAGCAGCCCAAAGTAGTCTTCGGCGAGAACAAACAAAAATGCATTTTCATGTCAGGCAACTTCCAAGTGAACTGAAGTGAGTGATTCATTTGCATATCTCCACCCACAGCAATACATGTAACTTGTGAAATGCTCTTTGGGCATCGTCGAAAAAGGGCATTCAGGAGTCATGTTCCTGGGCTGTAGGACTTTCCACAATCAGGTTTTAGTCCAATGGGGCATTTTTTAGGTTTAAAGGTTATTGTTTTAGGTTTAAAGGTTATTGTTCTGTCTCATTCACATTAAAAATGGGTTGAGTTAGTCTACAAATCTGATTTAAGCAAATCAGAAACTTGGTAACAGGTTTTTCAAAAGAATGTCACAAATTGATGTTTTACTTGTGTTTTTGTAAATAGGAATTCAGCCATTATTACAGGGGCGGATTTGAACCCAAGATGACAAAAAGAGAAGCTGGTTTAATTCTTGGAATCAGGTATGTTATGATTTATAGCCAGCAAGTCTAGTCCCGAGTTTCTACGGCCAAATGCATTCTCTTCAATGACATTATTAAGACTAGGAGATTTGCAAAGTAAAATTCAAAGAGATTAAAGCAAACCTTGTTATTTTATGGTAAATTAGTGTAGGCCAATCCCCATTTAGTATTCAACCATTCAACCAAGTCAGTGGTTATATTTGATTGAATTTTCCAATGGAAAGCCTTTATAACTGTGACTATCTTGATTGAAACATGATTGTGATTGAGTGTAGTACTGTTGTTTCCACACTTCTTGTAGTGAACTCAAATGAAATTTAATACAGTTGACAACGAGGAGTGCAGTCGCGTGTTGTCAGTTAGTGGTCAGTGGGGTGGCTCAAGCTTAGTCAGCCTTGCTTGCATCATCTCCAAGTGCTAAGTACAGTGTTTCCTGGCAGCCACTATCTTTGCTTAGCTCCCCCCTTTATTTTACCATTGTTAAATCAGTTTGACAGACACCTTGTTCCATTAGTGTGGGGGGCTCATAGGTGAAATGTGCGGGTTTACCAGCAATATTGAGTCATGGGTCTAGGGGCTGGCTTTGCCAAAAGGGGAAGCCCCTGGACATCCCGTGCACCCAACTCCATACTCAAGGTTGTCAACTGTAGTTGCTTAGCATTTTCCTTCTAGACTATTGTCAGAGAAAGTAGCTTAACCATGTGAATCATTGAGATGATGCATTGAAATCCCTAGTGTTTTGACCAGACTGTGAATTATGACCTTCAATCATAAAATGTGAAAATACTGAGAAAAAAACTCAACCTTAATTGATATTGAAAAGAATTGGACTTTTTTGATGGTATAATCCTCCCAAATTTGATAAATGTACAGTAAATATTACATTTCGTACATTATTTATCACAACAATCCTAGGTGCATGTCTTTGTATCCTCATTTGCTTAAATGAGTACATGCTTCTTCACAAAATGTAAAAGGATCTGAACTTGAATTTTTCCTTGTAAAATTACTTTACAAAACCTTAAGATTTTAACAACAAATTTTTTCTGCTTTCTTTTCAAGTCCTTCCGCTAACAAAGTTAAAATTAGAGAGGCTCACAGAAGAGTTATGCTCATAAATCATCCAGACAGAGGTAGGTTGAACAGTTCTTGAAGGGCTGAATTTGTTTGTTTTGGTAGCTAACTTACTAACTTAAATTTATACACCTACTGGGTCATAATTATGTCTACAACAATAGCCCTCAAGCATGTGTACGTCATGTGAACAGATTTCGCCATCAAGCATCGTAAATGTTGTAGTTAATTTTTTATCTCAGGTAATTTTTGTTTTTCTTTTGTTTTTGGGTGTGGTAATGTGTGCTCATCAATGAAGTTGAAACAAAGGAAAAATAATTATCTGAGATAAAAAACTAATTACATCAAAAACAAAACTCTGTGCATCAGTACTATTTCTTCATGGAAATTCTTTTCAACTCTACTGCGTTGGGAATTCATCAGTGTAGGAGTTAGTGAATGTAAAATTCCAAGCCAGGCTTGGTGGTGATATTTGCTTGTCTGACATGATCATGCATGAAGGCTATTTCTTGTTAAAGTGTAGGATTCCTCAATAGGCAGTTCAACATATGGTTTATTTTAGATTCTGTTAGGAGTCTGGCAGACTTGTATCAATAATATGTACAATTTTTGGATGAGGCTGAGTATCATCTGAAGAATTATAAAGATCAAGGAGCTTGTTAGTTGGCTGTGGTAGACAACACCCTCCAAGATCTCCTTAATTCTTCAGATGATAAGAAAACCGAATTCAATAGTTGTTTCATAATTCATTTCAAAAATAATTCCCAGTTCAAAAACAAGCTAAAACATGCTTACCTTCATTGATGTTGTGTTGATCTTTGATAGTGCATGTTTATGGGCAAGTTTAGGCGATAAAGAGTTGTTGAGCTCTGCAGTTATTCCCTAAATAGCAGATGTCATTTGTCCAGTTGTATTCTTGCTGTTCTTGTTATGTGGTAGCCAATATTTCCCCTTTTTCTTCCTCGCGAAATGAGTGAAAAGTTTATATTCACTACCAAAACAACTCAACCTCATCCCCAGGTCTTCTTGGTTAACTGTCCGGTTTTGTGGCTATTATGCTGTAGAATTGACGTCATTTTTCACATTTATAACACAAACTTCTTCCAAATTTGGTCAACAGTATAGCTGGTTATGATGAATTATCCCTTGGATTTTAGCCAGTCAGAAGCAAAGAGATATTTTGAGTGAATAACAATCAGCTTTATCATGACACTAAATATCAAATTTCCTTTCCCCGGCTTCCTGCATAGCTCTGGGTTTAAGGAATTGGAGGAGAATTGAAGGAAGTGTACAGTGCCTGTCTTTGAGTTCTAGGTTAATTTCAAATCCACATAATTATCAATACACTTTTCTGACAGGCACTTTTCAATTTTTCAGAAAATTATCACCTAACACCTGCCTGCTGCCAAGTGACTTTGCAGTCATTGTTTCTCACCCCAATTATTTTTTGTTGCATTTTGTAGGTGGGTCCCCATTTCTTGCTGCAAAAATAAATGAAGCTAAAGATATCCTGGATGGAAACAGCAAATAATACTGTACAGAAGCGTTGTTAAGCAGGGCTTTCAGATGGTCAAATGAAAACAAGCAGCAATCGCTAGTCTAGATCCAGTGGATTTTTAATCATTTTCTCCTGGACTTGAAGAGTCGGCTCTCACACTGCTGTGTTATATTAACATTATTTGTGACCTATGGGCTGTCTTAAAATAATATTTGAACGGCTCTTTTGGTCAAGACAGTGAAAGGGTTAATAATATTTATCTGGCCCTAGTTTTTCAAAAAGTGGATAGCACTATGCACTGGATTATTCTCTATCCACTGGATAGCGCAATTGGTTTTCCTAACACTTATCCACTGGCTAGCGATTTATCCGGTGGAATATGCTATCCACCTTTTGAACTAGGGCCTGAAGGACCCAAAAATGTACATTTAAGAAGCCAGAATAATGATTTTAATAGTGCACTTATTAACTTGGCATGAGTTCAGAGCACTTTGTGGTGGTACATGTAATAAAGTATTCAACAAAGTCCTACGGAGATCGCTAAGAGCCTGCTGCCGGCTAATTTCACTGGCTGGCAGAGAGTTTACCACAGGGTCAAATTGCTCTGGAAAGCACAGATATGGGTGTAATTTTGAAGTTGCAGTTGAGCAAAAGAGCCTTCTTGACTAATCAAAAAAGCCTTCTTAGCTTCGTCCCAGTAGTCTCGTATGGTCATCTTCCTTTACTCATAATAACTGTAGTTTCCTGCCACCTATCAATAGGTTCATTAAGATCCGACGATGGCGACGGCAACGAGAACTTCTGAAAAAGTATAGGTTTAGATTAGCAAAATAACAACTTTGCACGTGCACTTTTCTTGTACATTTCCTTGCCGTCACTGCGCGAGTACGACGGTGAAAATGCCTAATTTCACGTTTCATAGGAGACGTAAACAAGTCACGACGAAATTTTCCTTCTGTTGCTGAACCTGGATACGGTTGGGAAAGTTCGCCTTCATTGACATGACATTATGTACTTGCCAGTTTTTGTGAAATGTTTATAGTATGTGCTAGGATTTGTGCAAACAATGCTTTATGTGCTGGATAAAGCATGCTTCGCATGTGACATGCACCGGTACATTCCACAAGCAAGCAAATTATGAGGTGTTGAACTAAAAAGCACAATGTTCCTTGTGTATTGTTAAGTTAAAGAAGCATGTAACAGTTTTCGTGAAAATATACCAAGTACACCTTTTTATTTCAAATTACACTTGTCACATCTCCTAAACAATTCCCCTTTGCTTATCTAACTCTCTAATTTCACTCCAATACATATGAAATATGTAAGAGCAGAAAACGTTGAAACAGTTTAGGAGTTATCATAACAATTTAACTTAACCCACTTCTGTTTTACTGAAATTCCAAGGCGTTCAAATTCTATTAAGTCTACGGATCGCCATGCTGATGTGGCAACGTTTTCTAGTTCAGTCCCTGACACTTTGTTTTGTTTTTAATCAACGTCATTTTATGATTTTCGTGATCTGGAAAAAAATTTGTTGATGTGGAGGATATCGACACATAGAATTAATATAAAAATCATATCTCAATCAATAAAATAGGTTATAGTCCCCATGAACTTAACTGTTCCCTACTAGTCTCTTATAAGTAAAAGGGTCTTTCCTTCGGCTGGTCTTTCTTGTTTGACACGGAAATAAAGTTACCTACTTACCAACAGGAGCTTAGCGTCAGATTTTGAAGGTGTACGCACCAGTGTTATCGGTAAGGTGCAGTTAGCTGACAGTGTTAACGGAAAATAGGGTAAAAGTGACGCCATCAAGGAGGTTACAAGCAAAAGGCGAGACGTTTACCATTTAAACGGGCAAAGACTTTGATATAATGCGAAAAATTTAGCAGTCATCCCGATTTAGAGATAAAATGCTGTCAGGAAGCAAAACGAATATTTTTTTTCCAGATTTCAGGTGTACGCATGGGCGTATATGTGTATATGGACGCTACGCTCCTGACTAACCTACTTAATTACTGCCCTCTGTTTAAACCTAATACATGGTGACTAAAATGTAGTATCATTCCTGAAACGAATAGAGAGGGTAAGAAAGAGTAAACGAAACGATCAGCTGTTCATTCATGCCTGGTCCACTCCGGATGTTCTTGAAGCTGACGTTGGCTGATTTCGGAATCCTCATCAACTTCTGAAAAAAAACCAGGACCGAATAACAATATCAGTAACTCTATACAGCCGCTACCTTAAAGCATACCATAAGAACAAGTGTCGATCCACTTTAGAAAACATTTAGAATACAAGGAATTTTGTCCGCTTTTTAAACACAGAAAGTAAAGTCGGTTTTGTGGTGTTGCTTTATATACATGTAGTTCTGGTTTGGTTTGAATTGTATGTTTGCGTTCGTCTCTTTTTAAATGATAAACAACCTGTAACTCCATACAGTTGTGTAGTTTACACCAGTATTAACCAGGAGAATGTTTTCTGGTCAACTTTTGTATGCTCATTGAGTAGAGTAGTAGGGAACGAATTATTCGGTAATTGTTCGGTATTTTCTTTAATTTGCGGGGAATACATTGACGCCAATGACGTCATAGCCTTTTGTCTTTGTCATAAATAAACCTGTCACACCTGTTAAACCACTCAACTTCAGCATGACGTTATCGTTATGAGATTCCACCGCATTTATATTTATCAGATAAAGACAAAAGACTATGACGTCATCGTCGTTAATATATTCCTCCCAAAAAACGGATAATTTGGTCCCTACTATACTACTTTCAATTCCTAACCTGATACGTTTCCCGTTTACCTCCTTCTAACGTTTGCGACCTAAATTGCAAGTAAACTGGGATAGGTTCAATTATTTTTACTTGCTGAGAAGAAGATGATCTGTGGAACCCTGCCCTTCTGGTTCGCTCAAAGACGCTCAGTAACATACCCTCAGCGTTTTGCTCGGGATACGGGAAGTTGAAATATCAGATTTGGAAATTGTCATGCTGTGCGAAACATTCTTGCACTCGCCAAAGGATGATAACGATTTTTCACTGACTTCTATAGACTTGCACTGAATCCGCGAAAGGACAGGAGAAATATTTACGGTTACCCATGGCGAGTTGACTTTGTCCAGCTTTAAGGCACACCCTGAATCATGTCCATATTATCTATTAGCGTCATTGTCTTGCTCAAATTACATGTAGGGTTTCGACCGAATTGTGTGGAACTAATCTCTTAAAGGTGAACATTGGGAAAAACTGGACATAGGTTGAACAAAGATGTTGGAACAACAGAAAATGGTTTAAGCCCAGGAGTTATGTGATACGTAGGTGATCGTCCGGCCAGGTGAATGTAGTCCTGAATTGGACTGTTGTTGATAGTGACTAACGTTTCCACAACCAGTGTGGTGTCATTTTTGGCGTCATCACGAGATTGCCTCCACCGCGCAGGTTGTCGAAACGTCAGTCGCCGTCAACACATTACTATTACGGAGTGCACTCGCCAGGACGATCACCTAATCTGCCTCGTCCACAACCGCTCACGATGTTCGCTGGTTCCCATCAACCCTAGCCTCCCACGCGGGCGTTTCTAGGGGAGCACGCTTTTCATCCCTCCCCACAAACGCCTGCTCAACCGAAGACAACATTCCTTTCCCAAGCTTAGCCAATCACATTGTACTTTCCAAATTCTGGAAAGTTGACCTTGACCGCAGGCGGGTAATCTGATAATTACTCGATCTGCATGAAACACTGGGAAAGCTTTCTGACCTCTGATAAATGTTAGATTCAGAGCGGCAAAAGTAGGATTTAGTCAAATTTTAGAGTACTTCATGCACTGCATAACCTTAGCGAAGGAAAGAAAAGAAGGAAAACGGTAACTTTAGGGTCACGTTTTAGTCGTGTTTAGCTTGTCAACACTTTATTTCCAACTGTTGATTGGTTACTTACCACGCAAATAAAACAATGGGAAAGGAATGTTGTTTTCGGTTTAGCAGGCGTTTGTGGGGAGGGATGAAAAACGAGCTCCCCTAAAAACGCCTGCGTGGGAATCTACATCAACCTCCTCTCGAACTTTGCGCTTGTCTCCAGTTCCCCGCTTTAAAACTCTCTGCTCCCCACTAATCCCTGAGAAAGCCTGTGCAGGAGGCAGCCACCTCTAGTTATGTTAGAAAAATAACGACAATTATGATTTGGATCACTGTTTACCAGATGATGCACCAGACAAAAGTTTAAGTCTTCTCAAAGTGTCTGCAATGTCTTCCACTTTGTCTTTTCTTTCCACGTCAACGCAGGCATCATTTGCACTACAGTGCTCCAAAAATCTGTACGAGGTAAGAAGAAATAAGACTGCGAGGAAACATATTCAAATTAAAAGTTTGCAAGGTAAAGATTAAATAGGTTTAAGTAGCTTCAGCAGAGGGTCATAATATAAGAGAGCGTGACGTCATAGTTTCACGTTTTCAAAGCAGTAAATACTGTTAAAATCCCTACCAGATTAAACACTCAGGGGCCTAGACAAGCTGAATAACTCATCGTGTATTTTTCTTTGACGGTTGCACCTCAAGATTTAATATATTACTGATTTCTTTCCCGGAAAATCTTTTGTACGTCAGTAATTAATTCAGCATTACTATATGTTATCATTTACAAGTTCCTGCTAACCTTCTCCAGTTGTCGTCCAAGCAAAGCATATCTGGATTCCCTACTAAAATCAATAAGGCTTGTGCACGAGTAATGGCTACATTGAACCTCTGAAAAATAAGGAAACAAAATTAAACTTAATTCAGTTTCGTGCCTTGATTAACAAAGCTTTGCGTATTTCATCTTGCTCAATGTCAAGCTGTTCAAAGTAAGGATAGATCAACGATGGCGACACAGTAACACTGAGTGAGGATTCTGACATCGACGTTGGGATTTGAAAGAGCGATAGAGATCCCTAGACGGCCTAAACATATCAATTGATGGAGTGGATATTCCGCTATTTTTAAACTCTTTTGATATTTTTGCAATTGTCGAAACCAGCTTAGTTTTTTTGAGCTTGTTTCAGTAATGAGAACAAACGCCTCGCATCTACTAAACGCCCTCACTTGGACCCCCAAAAATCAAGAGAGAATAAAAATGGACGCTCGGGGAGTCTATTAGGTCATTTACGGTACATATTTAGAGATATTTCGCTACAGATAAAGCAAACCGTAAATCCAATGCATTTACTATATCTTACTAACGATTGTGTGGGCACCCTGTGTTGAGACCGCGGTCACAAATCATACCTTTGGGTTGTTTAGAAATCCGAGGTGGAAGTTTTTGTCCATCTCCAGGAACTCTTTCTTGGT